CCTCGGGGTTGACCTCGGAGGGCTCTTGGAGACACCAAAAACTTGGGGGAGCCACTTTAAAGAGGGTGGTGGTGGGGCCTGTGGACGGTGAGAGAAAAGCTGCGGAGCGAACAACTCACTTCTACTCTCGAATCCCATGCAGAGCAAACCCATCGATCGTGCCATTCCGTTTTTCTTGAACCCACATCTGTTGAAAATCTCGAAGGCGAGCTGGTCGGCCATGATATTCCAGGGACGTGCAAGGCGAAGCCCAGAGTACACAGCCCGAAATTCGCAAACTCCGTATGCGGTTCACGATCACGAAGCCTGTCTGAGTCTTTCGCTCACCCATGGCACCACTGGAAAATAAGATTGCTTTGATTCCTGCAGCAGCTTGGTGAAACCGGTGTCGAGAAAGAGGCCGGCCAAGACGGATGCAAACCGAGGAGGGTATGCAGCTGCCCGCTTTGTCCAGCGGACCCCTGTGGGGTCTGGTCCCGATAGCACGATATGAGGTTTCGCCGAGAATATACAGGGTTGACAACCAAAACTGGGGCACTTGTGCACCATCTTGTACATGTTCTCCACACCCCAGGACCACAATGTCGTAGGTTTTTTCCACCGCGCTCCGAAACCACAGAGGTGAGTCGTGAGCGACTGCTGTTTGGCAAGATTACGAAGGCTGCGAAACTCGACAGTGTGCCAGATCAGACTTGTCTGAGGATTCTCAATCACCCAAGGAACTCCACACTTCACAGCGAGCCTGCAGAGCTGGGCCGTCAGCCTCATGAAAAAAAGTACCTGCTGCGACCTGGGCCTGCTCCGACGGAGTGTTCGTCGGGAGGCCCTCGATGAATTCACGACTTCTGATCGTCGGCCTCCGAGCGTTGCTGTACGTGGTGCACGGCGGCGCCAGGAGGATGCCCACACAACGAGGATGAGCCAGAAGCCGTCGGATGCGTCGCTGCACTGGACGGCGGGTGACGTCCCCTGCGGCCCCCTGCAGGACGTCGAAGGGGAAGGACTCTACCCCGCGGCGCCCAGCGGCTTTGGAGAAAGCCCCGCAGCCACTGAACACCTCGATCATGAAGAACCCACGCCTCTGATGCCCTTGACGTGGCCGCAGGCCCGAACGATCGCTGCCTCCAGCTCGCGGGCGCTCCTGTTGCAGTATGCCTTGGACCTCTGGTCGGTCGAGCCCGTTGTAGACCTCCTGCACGAGCGCCCGCTTCTCGTAGCGTCGCACCGACGCTCCCGTCCGCCAGCGGCCCCGACGCTGCACCTCGGCGAGGTCCAGCCTGTTGGTCAGCCTGTCCAGGCTGGCGCCCGAGTGCCGGCCCATGTAGAGGACCGGCTTCAGGCTGCTGATGCCCGCGGGGATGCAGGCGGTGAGGAAGCTGGCGTTCAACTCCTTGAGCGTGAAGTCCCACTAGGGCCCCCGCTGGGGCTGGCTCGCTGCGTACTTGGTCAGGGCATCTGAGAGCCAGGTCCGGTTGATGATCAGACTCTCGTCGACGGCCCCGACCTTGCTAGGCATTCCCTTCTCGGCGGGATGCAGGAGGATCGCAGCTCGCTCCATGTGTTGTTGGGCGTTCCCTCGTAGGATCTGGCTTGTCTGGAGGTCGAGGCACTCGCCCGGTCGCATGTATGTGTCCACCATGAGAAGCCAACAGAGCGCCATCCCCAGGCCGTTGACCCGGAGGAGCCCCATCGCGATGGCGGTCACTACCTCCCAGGGCAAGGGCCGCCGAGTGCGGCGCGGCACCAGACGGCGCCAGCCGCGCAGGGCCCTGGTCGCCCGCGGCAAGGTCATCATGCCCTTGGCGTTGTAGCTCGGCACTACGCACTGGATGGCCGCGACGAGCTTCTCCCCCGTTGATGGGGCCTTTCCCTCCAGAAAAAGTCTGTCGAAGTAGATCACGATCTGCGCGTCCAGGATGGCGGGATGCACACTCAGGTCCTGCATCCGCTGCCGCTCCTGAAAATCGTGAAGTAGTCGTTGATACTGATCTCGTGTCTTCTGCGTCAGCGAGGCCTCCTCGGTGATGCCCGGTCCCCTCGTCGTGTCCCGGAGCGGCCCGTGAACGTCCTGCCGACGTGCGGCACGACGCTCCCGCAGCTGCTGCTCCTTGTCGAGGCTCGCGCTCTTGGCCTCCAGCAAGCCCAGGATTGGATGCCCAGGAGGAGGCTGGTTGGCACGACGGAGGCTCTCCACGTCTGGCTCGGTCTTCTGCCGCTTGTCCGTCAGTGGATAGCCCGACCTCAACGGCACACGAGAGAGCGCCTGCACCACGTGGGAAGTCGTCGGTGCGGTCCGCCGATGGCTGGGGTGGCCCACTCGCCGGTCGCGTAGCTGGCGCCGATGGCTCTCTCTTGCGGGATGGTCCATCGGCTGGGTTCAACTCATGGGGTAGCCATCTACATACAAATCTCGATTTGGTAGCTAGAGCCCACGCTGCTGCCTTACGATGAAGCATGAGTAAACGAGGATCTCGACACCGACCTTTCGTGAGCGAGAGGATGAGCCCCAAGTTGTCTCCCAACATCAGCCACGACTTGCCCCAATCACCAGGATCCCGAACCGCTTGACGAATAGATCCCAAGAAGCCCCGCATTTCAGTAACATGAATTGGCTCACGAGTAAAAACCGGTTGATATCTTTCCAGCGTCCACCGAGTTGACTGCACAAGCTGGTGGGGGACGCCGGGGAATTCACGGTTTAGGTACACATCACTGTAATCGATCTCCTTGTTTGACATATCTTTCCTATCTGTTTGTTTGTCATAAGATTGTCCCAGAGCGTGACCACGGGGATTTGTACGAGCGGGATTGTCTTCATTCTTATACCTCCAACGCTCGTGCCACTTCCCTACCTGCTGTACACCCCCCACCGTTCAGGCCCCCCTCACCGCGGCATGCCCAGACTCACACGCATCGTAGGCCAACACGTCCGAGGACCAGTGAGGATCCAAGTCCCTGGACGCAAAAATTAAAAGGCCCTGGATGGTTCTGAGCTCCTGGAGGACACTTTTCCACCGGCTCCGGGGCTTGGTAAAATCACCCCTGGAAAAATCGTAGCTGGCGCGCAACGTGCTAAGCAGCTCTCGCCGAATGAGAGCCACAAAAGTAAAGTGGCCAATCAGACGCTCAAGCTGACGGCTGCTCAGAGGAGGCTGCCTGCGCCGGATCCATTCCAGCGCCTGCCACAACCGCCAGTAGCGCTTCGCGGACACCTGCACACGACCTGGACAGCCGGTCTGCTCGACGCCCAGCATCTCCATGCTCGCCGCAGCGTCGGACTCGTCGTGAGTGGCGTAGCCCGCCTGCTGCAGCGCGGCGCATGCAGCCTCGCGGAGTCGTGTCACCTCCGCTTGGTCGAACCCCTCGATCAGCACGTTATCCACATACACCGTGTGCACCGCCCCGTCCTCGACTCGAGGCGGAGGCCGAAAGTCGACCGCTCGGCGCCGCGGCCCCAGCTCGGGAACTCCATCGAGAACATGCTCGTGGATCCGCTGCACCATGAAGAGGGCCCACTTCCACCCCATCGGAACCCCGTTCATCAGGGGGTACAGGATCTGGTCGCCCCGCACGGCCTGGCCGTCCAGCTCAGCAACGCCCAGCTCCGAGGCCCGGGCGCAGTCGAGGCCGAAGTAGGGCTGCAGCCAGCACGGCAACTGGTGCTGGTAGAAGGCGTTCTGAACGTCACCCCCTGCGTACCACATCTGCTGGTGCGCCGAGACCTCGACCTCCGCGAAGCTGCTGCCCGAGAAGAGGTGGACCTTCGGCGCGGCTCGAAAGTGTTGGTTACTCCGTTGGCAATCGATAACGATCCGAATGCTAGAGTCCTTCTTCTTCACGAAAAAGACCTTGACGGCTTCCTTCCGACGGCGGCCCAGGCGGAAGATCCCCCGAGCAAGGCCATCCTTCACGAAGCCGATGTACAGCCGTACGGCGTCGGCAGGCCCTCAACCTGCCGGACCTGCGCCACCTCCTGCGGCTGCCGCAGCCACACATCTCGCTGGCCCTCTGTCATGTACCGGAGCAGGTCCGGTGGCGCGTTCGTCGGCAGCGGGGCCGGGCGGTTGCCCCTCTTGGGCCAGCTCACCAACTCGCGCGAGTAGGGCCGAACTGGAGAGACCTCGTCGCCATCCATGCACGATGAGGGCGTGCCCCCGAGAAGCTTATGAAAGGCTTCCTGCGGACTGATCGAATTCACCGGCCCGGGGGCATGAGCCGCGTGAAGCGCCCGCACGTCGCTGTAGACCAGGGCGGAGGGGCCGGTCAGCTCCCCGACGGACTCCACCTCGGGCGTGTCAAAACCTGCCGCGCGATTGATGGCTCGAATCGTCTCGGCGGTCCTATCTTGGACCTTGAGCCGCCGCCGAACACGTTGCTCCGTGCCCCGCGACAGCGCAGTGCAGCCACCAGTGTAACACTCCTGCCGAGGACAGGCCAAAGGAAGAAGGCCATCCCCTTCACCAGCAGCAGCATCACGACGGTGAATTGACCCCTTGGCATTCGCACCACGACCGGGGTCCGCCGTGGTGCGCCCCTCTCTCAGGGGTGCTCCTGATCCTTCTTGCCGCCACCCTTGGAGGCCTTCTTGGCCGCCGCCGACTCCTCACGAGCCTTGCGGCGCTGCTTCATCACCTCCGTCTCCTTGCTCTTCTCGTCGGTCGCATAGTGCGCGAGCCCAGGGTTGAGCGCGACCCCGCGGCGTAGGCCGCCTGTGGGGTCGCGGCCCACGTAGTGCTCCAGGCCCTCCAGCTGGAGGGTCCCGTTGGTCTCCTCCACCAGCTGGTGCAGCCGCGCCAGCACCTCGACGCTGGCAAGGTTGCCGCCATCGCACTGGTCATAGCACACCGAGAGATCCAGCGCCAGACCCACGAGATCGTGGATAAGGTAGGCGGTGGAGTCGATGGCGATCTTCTGCTCCGTGGCCCACTTGGTCTGGCGGGCGTCGAACGTGCCGCCGTGATCACGAACGTACTTGAAGAGCCACAGCGCCGACCTCTCGCCCTCAAGCGGGAAGTCCTCCATCGGCTCTGTGCTCATCTTGCTGACAGCGTTGGCAAAGTCACACCAGCGTCGCCCGCCTGGGTCATAGGAGACGGGGGCGAGCACACGAGCGTCGCCGCCGTCAGCAACCGAGCCTCCATCCACGACTTTGCTCAGGTAGTCGGGACGACACGCGGCGATCACCTCACCATTGGTCATGCGGTGGAGCGCCAGCTCGCCCAGCACCTTGTCACCCGTCTCGAGCTCCACAGGGTCGCCACGGCGCACGGAACCGATCGTGACGAGGGACACCCAGCGGCCTCCATCGTTCACCAGCTCCACATCCGCGTCGAGGACCTCGGGAGTGCGGGTGCCCCCTACGAGGAGGTCTCCGCCCTCTGGGGGCTCAAGAGGAGGCGGCAGAGCCGGTAGCGGGCGCCCGCGCGCACGCCGGTAGATGCCCTCGTGCAACTCCAGCGGCTGCCTCTGCCCCATGGCGTCGGAGTACGCCGTCGGGCCCACGACCTCGCCGCCCTCGGACACGGCGAGTTGGTACCCCTCATTGATCAGGTCGAGGAGCCGCTGCTCGTCCGGGAAGTCACGGAACCTGTAGGTCTTGCCCCTGAGGAAGAACGGGAGGGTGCCGTCAGCAGGCAGGATGGCCGCGCGGCACGGACCCGAGTCGGGATCCCCAGCCATCACATTCTCTATGTACATGTCGCCGTCAGGGGTGTACACCACCCAGTGCTGGGCGTCGACCTGGAACAAAATTTGACGCTCATGCCACACATCATCTTCCGTGTAGAACACGGCCACGTAGCTCCCCACGAGGAGCTCATTGCAGAACTCCTCCTCCGCGGCGGCGTGCCCTGTCTCCAGGAGCTGGGCGGCCAGGCCCTGCCAGCGCGGCACGCCCGGGGGAGCCGAGGCCGTCGGGCGCGACTCCCGCAGGGGAGCTCGGCGGCGCCTGGGCTCGGACGCCATCTCGTCGACGACAGGCGCAAAGGCGGCCTCCCAACACCAGGACGATGTGGCCCACCGCGCCTCCCGCCAGGTGCCACAAACCCTCCTTCACGTCATCGTCCACCTCAGGTGGACACTCCGGCACCTTCGGGCACGAGCAGGTGCAGGCTGGCGCCTGTGGGCAGCTCACGCCCTCCAGCGGCCCGCTCCAGTTGGTCAGGGCCTCGCCCGCCGCTGCCGCCGCCGCGGCGGCCAGGCTGGCCGCGTCCGCGGCTGAGTAGGCGGCCTGGGCGGCCGCCTCGGCGCCTGCGTGGCCAGCGCCCTGCCAGAGCCCGGCCTGCTGCAGGAAGGTCTGATACACCAGGTCGGCGTGCCTGAGCAGGACTGCGCCCACCACGCCGGCTGCGGCGTGTCGCGGACGCAGCGCCAGGGCCATGCACAGCCCGGGCCCCAGGATGCCCCCCTCCTGTATGAGAGAAAAACTGCGGAGCGAACAACTCACTTCTACTCTCGAATCCCATGCAGAGCAAACCCAGGAGGAGGAGGAGGGGGGGGGGAGAAGGAGACGCATCTGACGCACTCTTCACGTGCCCCTCACGTGGCGCACCTGGCGCGGCTGGAGTGTGCGGCACGCCCGGCGCACCCAGAGCACGTGGCGCACTTCGCGCACCAGGCGTTCCCGACACGCTCGGGCCCCAGGGGTGCCTGGCGCGCGTGACGCCCCTGGCACGCGTGGCGCAAATCGCCCAAGCGTCGCGCACCTGGGGTCGGCTTTGGCCCCCAGTAGCTACCCATCCAAAGACGACCGCTGAACATGCTCAGGCTCGGGTGTTATTTATGTGTTGGGAGGGCGGGTGGGAGTGAGCTAGACGGCTTGCGGGCGGGTGGGTAGCTTGACCCCTCCCCCTACACCCGCCCCTGGACCTGGAGGGGGGGGGTTCGCGAGGCGTTGGAGCATCCAAGATGCTCCAAGACGGCCATCCAAGGCCTCAAGACAGCTCCAAGAGGGCGCAAGGGGGCCCCAAGAGATGCCCAAGAGAGCCCCAAGAGCGCTCCAAGAGGGGAGGCTAATTAAGGGCCCCCCCTTCTTTGCCCGAGCTCTTCCAAGATGGCCCCACGAGCGCTACCAAGGCTCCCAAGAGCGCCTCAAGATGGCCCCAAGAGGCTTCCAGGAGGTCCCAAGAGGCCCCCAAGATACTCCCAAGAGGCCCCACGAGGCTCCTCAAGGCACCCAAGAGCGCTCCAAGAGGGACCCTTCCTCTGTGTGCTGCCAACTTCCCTGATCGAGGCAACTCCTCTGGGCATCGTCTCTGGACGGGCTGGTGGGGTTACACAGAGCGTCAAGGGGTGTGAAACTTGTGAATGTGGTGGCGACGGTGACGAAGGCGACAACAACGACACTGACGACGGCAATAACGACGACGAGGGTGATGATGAAGCTGATGGTGATGATGATAAGGATGATGCTGGTTATGTATATGATGATGCTGATGATGCTGATGCTGATGCTGATGCTGATGCTGCCGCTGCTGCTGATGATGATGGCGATGATGCTGATTATGATGGCGATGCCGATGACGATGACGATGGTGGTGGTGGTGGTGGTGATGATGACAATGATCATGATGATCGGATGACTGAGGGTCTGCATATTGCCCGTGTGTTTTAAACGAGTGGGCGCACATAAAGCCTGGCATCTCTGTTTCGGCCAGCCACAAACATCTATGTAAGTACCTCATATGTGCAGGCGTATGCGGCCTTATCTTGAAAGGTTGCAAAAAGCGTACTGCCCACCTGGGCTCCTCCTCTTCGCTGATCCTGAAGCCGCCACGGGCGGAGGAAAATCGACGGCACGACGGGGGAGCAGCAAGGGAGAGGACGAATAACCCGAAACGTTATGATGTTACTCGCGTCCTTTCCGCACCAGGCGTCACCGTCGTCGTCGTTGTCGTCGTCGTCGTCATCCCCCCAGCCATTGTTTTCCTCATCGTCATCGTCGTCGTCCTCCTCCTCCTCCTCCTCCCTGCAACCCGTCGCACACGACAAGGAAACATCGCATTCTTTGCTTGAGATTGCCACCTCGTCTTGCGTGCGCCTGTGGACGTGCGCCTGGGAGACAAGACATGCCGCTGGCCAAAAGCGCTTTTTCGTACGCAGCATCATCGTTATCCTCGTCCTCCATGTCCCGCCGCGCCTCAAGCTCCACCATGGTGCCCAGCAGGTCCAATGCAACTGCGAGCGATGCGCTCAAGATGAGATGCCCGAGGGAATTCGACTAGGAAAGATCGGCAACGACTAAAGGGGGCGGGGAACGCGTGAGGGAGTTTCTACAGCCATTATCCCCACTTTCGTCACGACTCTTCCCCTCGTCCTAGCTGTTTATTAGCCTCCTCGCCCTGCCCACTTCGGACACGTGGGCGCAGAGAAAGTCGCAAGGCGGGAAGGGTAAGCCGGCGAAGATGGCGGCTGTGGTCGGAGCGTGCGTTGGTAAGAAATGGCTGAAATGGGGAGTGGGGGGAGCTGAAAGCAAAAGAAGCGTGGGAGCGGAGAGCCGGGAGGGGGAGGATGGAATGATGGGGGAGGAGGACGAGGAGTGACACGGGGTGAGGACTGCTGGAGAAGTGGAAAGCTGTGTTGAGCCTGGTGCCGGGAGAAATGTGCAAAATAGCTGGGGAAAGATTTATAGTCCAGTGTGAAACACAGGAGCACGGCAGGCGCATTATCTAAACAGACTTCTCGACCTCAGGCAACCTGCGGCGGAGCGCCGGTTGGATGGAGCGCCAGTGCGGCCGCGCCGACGAGTAGAACCAGCACCTGGCCGCCAAGAGGCCGACAGGCGCGGCGCAGAGCGGCTCCCATGCAGCTGGCGGGCGGGGCCAGCATACCACATGGCTACATACAAGACAGAGTGGAGGAGATGCACGGGTAGGCGGTAAGGGCTACTCTTGATCCTCTTCCACTCCTCCGTTAGGCATGCGAGCACCGCAGCAGGCTAGGGATAATAATTCATCGCAGCAACATGTATACGATCCTTCACACGAACTGTGTTGGGAAAATCGTTTCGGCACAGCCGTAGGGGAATTAGCGTCCAGATTCACGGGCGCCCACACTGTACAATGGTCTACTGTCCGGCTAGCTCGACTCGCACGTCCCCTCTTAAAATGGGGGTGGCAACTCACGTGAGCCTCAAACAGAATCCTGTCAGCAAGGGCAAATCAACGCTAATCGACGCTACATTATCGTCTAGTTGTGTGCCATGGAGCTCGACTCGCACGACCTCCCCATCTCGCCATCGCTCGGACGTCCATTCCCCGTGCATTTGTCGGCTTCGCGCGTGTATGTTTCGCAAGATGACCTCAGATGCTCCTCGATGGTCCTTGCATTAGGTCGGGCATGTCCTCCTACAGGCGGATTTGGGAAGACGCATAAAGCATAGTCAACAAATGTGCGAACATAGCGAGGAATAGTCCAAACCTCATCCCCAGACTATTGTTGTTGACTATTGCTGGGTACTCCTCCTGTAGGCTCCCGATCCTGCGGAACTTGGGGGCTACTCTCCAGAGAAGGGAGGCCGTCAGGGCGTTCCTCGAACTGTTCGGGATCGGCGTGGGCGAATATCCGAGAAGCAAGATTATTGGGAAGCATGGACAAGTGGAAGCTTCGTTGGAGCTCTTTTGGACCGCCTTAGGGCTCTCTCGGGCCATGTTGGGGCTGTCTTGGGGCCTTCTTGGGGGCCACTTGTGCCGCATTTGGGCGACTCGGGAGGCCCCTCGGGCCGCCATGGCCATCTTGGGGTCCTTTTGGGCCGCGTTGGGGGGCTCTGGGGCTGCCTGCCTCAGGGCCAACTTGGACGTCCTATTGGGGCCCTTTGGGCGCTCTTGGGCCGCCTTGGGGCTTTATTGGTTTCTTGGGGCCCTCTTGGAGGGCTTTGGGGCGGTCTTGGGGCGACTTCGAAGGCCCCTCGGGCCAAGTAGGCGGTCAGGAGGCTGGAAAAGAGACAACGCTAAAACCTTTGCAACAAAAACATAGGAAATCTACAAGTTCGCCCTCTTGGGGCTCCCTTGGGGGAGCTTTCTGCCCCCCCCCCCCCCCCCAGGCTGTCTTGGAGCGCTCGTGAACAGTCTTGGGGCTCTCGGAAGCCTCTGTGAAGCCGTCTTGGGCAGACCTGAAGGCCGCTTGCGGGCTCCTTTGGACCCCCGGTGGCTCCAGTAAGCTCGACGGGACCCTCGGCACACCAGTCGCCAGTCGGCGCTCTGGCCCAGGGACCCCTGGCCCCAGACCCCCTTGTATTTGGACATAGAAATATGCATACATATGTCATGTAACATACGTAAATGTACATGGAGAGAGGGGTAGAGGGCAAGAGTCTTCTCGAGTACGAAGATTTGAAGATGTGGAAAAGGCAGGGCTGACAGTGAGGCTAAAAAGTGGGGAGTGGACGCAGGGAGGTAATCTTCATTCCTGCTTCCTACTGTTCCCCCTCTTCCTCCTCCTCCTCCTCCTCCTCCTCCTCATCCTCCCTGTTCCCCCTTCCATTTCACCCTCCTCTCTCATTCCTCCTCTCCCTCCACCTTCCTCCAGTTCTGCTCCCTCCGCGTCCTGCTCCCTCCTCGTCCTCCTCGTCCTCGTCCTCTTCTTCGTCCTCGTCCTCGTCCTCTCCCTCTGTTCCCACTACCTCCTCGTCCTCTTTCGGCCCCAAAGACCGCAACTCCAGGTATTCCCGTCCTCCAGCCTCCTCCGCCTCCCTGCGCCTCCTCCTCTCCTCCTCCTCCTCCTCCTCCTCCTCCTCCTCCTCCTCCTCCTCGTCCTCCTGTCCTCCCTGCTCCCTTCGCCCTCCCCTTCGTCTTCCTGCCCCCCCCCCCCCGCCTCCCGCTCCGCCTCCTCGTTCATCCCTCATATCCACCTTTCGCTCTCCGTCCTCTCTCCTCCCTCGTCCTCACCCTTTTCCCGCTTCTTCAGGTCCACCCTCCTCTCCTCCCGGGCTGCCTTCCCACAGGCCCGAGTAGTCGCAGGCGCTGATGGCTGCCGAGTAGGTGATGGTGCTCGCCTGGCCACATTCCTCCTCCATCTGTGTTCTGTATACAACTCCTTCACGTCGCACCCCGAGACGGGTCGGTACAATAGGGAGGGCCGGGAGTTTTGTTTTAGACTTCCACACCACTTAAAACCTGAAGCTGAGAACTTGCAGAAGTTTCACGGACGGAAGGTTGGTGGTTTCCTAGCTGTGGCTCTCGTCTTAGCGCCGTGCGCCTTCGTCTTTACAACTTGCAGGAGCTTCACAGATGAAAGGCGGGTGGTTGTAAAAGTGTGGCTCTCGCCTGAGCGCCTCGCACATTCGTCTGGACAGTTGGCCAGCAATTTACGGATGGAAGGCGGCTCGGTTTCAAAATGTGGTTATCTCTTAGCCCCGCGAAAATTTGTCTTAATAGTTCACAGCAGCTTCACGGATTCTCATGGCTTACGTCCAAGACTTGGCCCTTCGACGCGATTCAGGAGTGTCCAGGCGAGACAATCATGTTGATTTTCGGTGTTGACGTCCCAGGGAGGATGTTCCGGCAAGATGTGGGACCGTCAGGTCGCAACAGCAACGTTGATTCGCGGGGGCTTGAATTAAGTCCCAGGAATTGTGATTTCTCTTCCACTGGGGCATTTCCCGCAGTGAAAAGGGATCCTTGTGGGAACCTGTGAACAGGGAACTTGAAGGGAGGGTGTATTGCAACCTCGTTGACGAGTGCTGGGTTGAGTCTGGTCTTCCACTCCTCCTCCTCCTTTTCCTCCTCCTCCTCTTTGTCCTCATCGTCCTCCGACTCGTCCTCCTCCTCCTCTTCGTCCTCCTGCTTGTCGCCAACTCGTAACAATCATCCCCACTGTCTCCACCACTGTCACCACTGTACCCCTGCCCCATGGTCCCACCACCGTCCTCACCACCGCCCTCACAACTGTCCCCACCACCACCGTCCTCACCACTATCCCCACTGTCCCCACTGTCCCAGTGTCCCCACACCACTGGCCCCACCACCACCGCGTTCAGCACTGTCCCACTGTCCCCACCACTGTCCCAGTGTCCCCACTGTTCCCGACATTGTCCCCGCTATCCCCACCAGTGCCCCGACCAGTGTCTCACTGTCCCCATTGCCCCACCACGGTCCCACTCTCCCAATTGTCCCCACTGTCCGCACCAGTGTCCCACTGTCCCCACTGTTCCCACCATTGTCCCACTGTCCCCGCCACTGTCCCACTGTGCTGTCCCACTGTCCCCACTGTCCCGACTGTCCCCACCACTGTCCCACCGTCCCCACTGTTCTCACCGCTCTCCGCACTGTACCACTCACCACCGCCCTCACCCCGCCTTCACCACCGTCCCCACCACTACCGTCCCCACCACTGTCCCGCTGTCCCCACTGTCCCCTCACCACTGTCACGCTGTCCCCTCACCACTGTCCCCACCACCACCGCCCCCACCACTGTCCCAGTGTCCCCACCACTGTCCCAGTGTCCCCACACCACTGGCCCCACCACCGTCCTCACCACTATCCCACTGTCCCCACCACTGTCCCACTGTCCCGAAGAGCGGGAATCGTTTGCTGGCGGCGAGGGGGGGGGGGGAATCGAACCGGTAGTGCCCCCCCCCTTTTCATGATGGACGGGGGAGGGGAGGGGGGATTCGAACCAGTGGTGACCCCCTCCTGGTTTTCGAGGGGGAGGGGAACGGGTTGGGAATCCCCAATGACCCCCCCCCGGTTTTCCGCCAGCAGCAGCGGTAGAGCACGCTCTCTCCGAGATTGCAAGAATCATGGAGTGATGCCGCTTCAAGCGATCCCCAACAATTGTTTTTTTCCCGTACTTCCATGTGCAGGATCAGCATGATCAGACGTGGACCAGACTCGGGGATGGACAGAACCCCCTTTCGTAAAACGTGGTTTAGTGAAAACGACATCGGGCCCCAGCCTGGCGGGCGCAGGCCTGGCAAATGACGGCCGCGGCGCCCTCTCGAGAGCCGAAAACGGACAATCCACTAATCGACGTGTCAGGGTGGAGGTCCTGTCCACCCCCGACAGACGGGCGGGTCGCACGCGGGTCGAGGGGACGGGGCGCGGGACGACGAGGACAACCCATCCGCAAGGGTCCGCACCGCGGACCCCCACCTGACTACCTACCAGACCACCCCAACCCAACCCGAAGACCCGAATTTCGGGTTGGGGGGGGTAAGGGTTCCACATGTGTTTTTTCGATATTTCCCGGACCCCCCCCCACTGGAAATCGAGGGTAAATCTGAGCCTTCGGGTTGGGTTGGGGTGGTTTGGTGGGTGGTGACCACCTCGGTCACGAGTGCTCAGGGACAGCGTTGGCCTGTGCGGCCCCCTCGAAATACATCGACGTGTTGCGAGGGTAGCCGGCAAAGGAAGTCTGCCAATCGCATGGACTCTTGAGCTCACCACCAACATAAGCAACACGGACCACTGCAACACAATAACATCATTTCTTTGCCATTGCTCGTCCGACAATGACCGCACTCAAAGTTCGTGAATGACTGCACCGCGCTCCGCGATTTCCAAACTTGAGCATCAATGCATACAGTAGGTCTGGAGCTGGCCCATTGGCGATCCAAGTAGGTGCGAACATGCGCACAGATCAGCGGTGGCACCCCACTTGGCTCACATCTGCGATCAAACTTAGAATGGAGTGGGAAAGGAGGAGGATGGCGGGTTGGGGGGGGGCCAGACGAATAGGCTACGTGTGAGAAGCAGAACGAGTAAGAGCCTGGTTCGAATGCGAAGCAACGGCATCAAAGAAATGCAAGTGCAAACAACCACGTGTGGCCTCAAGGTCACTTTCCGCCATCTGGCCCAACAGCTGCAACGCATGTCGCCACATACCCTGCTTCCCGCAAGCACTTATGGCAGCGCTGCAAACAATCTCGTTCGTCCTGGGGGAAGCGTGCAATCATCAAACGGAGGAATAGGTCACGAGATATCAAGAGTGAACAAACAACACAGTCTGACATGTATGTGCGTGGTGGCCTGGTGGGACGAACAACTTCTCAAGACAAACAGAGCTTCTCCTCCTCCTCCTCCGATGGTCCTCCTACTCGCGCTCACGATCGCCGGCGCGTAAGAATCAAGTCGCTATGTGTTTGCATCATGTGTCGAAACACGCTTGGCAATACATCACAGCGCAAACTTAGAAATAAAAGCAAGCAGGTCGGCGCAACATACCTCCTCCTCCTCCTCCTCCTCCTCCTCCTCCTCCTCCTCCTCCTCCTCCCCCTCCTCCTTCTCCTCCCCCTCCTCCCCCTCCTCCTCCTCCTCCTCCTCCTCCTCCTCCTCCGCCCCCTCCTCCTCCTCCTCCTCCCCCTCCATGGCGCAATTTAAGGGCGCGGGCGCAACCAGAATTCACGAACCATCAGCAGCACCCCTGGCGCAACACAGGGCCACAATGCGCGGCGCAAGCCACGGGCACATCTTCTTGCGCGCCCCGCGGGCGCAAGCTCCAACACATGAGCACCCACGCCATCCAAACGCAACCCATGAGCGATACAGTCGAGGCGTTGACCTAAGGAACCCTAGATAAGGAACGAGGACCTTTTTTGGTCCATAAGTTAAGCTTCGACTTCCCATCGAAAACTTAAGGAAAACATTAGGCAAGGTGTGGGGCAATTAAGGAACACCGAGCCCGTCCCCAACGAAAAGCGTTCCTTCTTCAAGGCCCCGACTGTACCTACGACGCGACACATCGGCGAAATCACCGCCCGCGAAACATCCGCGCAGACTTGGGCACATCTCATGGACGAAGACTAGGGCGCGACCAATGCCCACGACACATCGGCGCATTTCCAAGCGAAAGCACGTTCGCGCTCACATCGCCCACCCCGTGGGCACGACACATTGCTATGCGCACTTTACGTACACTCGGGTTCAACCCACTCTCACAACACATGGCGCAACCCAGTGGCGCATCGAACGAGCGCGCAGACTCATAGCCCAACGCCAAAGTGCCAGCACCCATGGGGTGTTCCTCCGGATCAGCGTCGTTATCATCCTCTTCCTCCCACCGAATCCCCCTGCCATCCCTCGTTCCCCTCCTCCGAAATAAAGGGGGCGGGCGAGATCGCGTCCGAGGAGGGTGCGCCACCAATTGTAGAGAGAAGGCGACGGGCGTTATGTCTGATGGGACCTCTCACAAAAGAAACGCTACACCGCGCTGAACACGCCGCCCAAACCTGCCACTCAGGGGAGGCAAGAAGCCAGGCAACGGGCCCCGGTGGGCGAGGCTGGGGAAGAAGAAGATAACTCAGAAAAAGAAAAGAAGAAAAACGACTCCGAAGGAAGACGGGTGACTTCACCACAACAAAACGAAGGAAGGGCCCAATGGCCCATGTCCGCCGCGCTGCTGCGTTGGCGCGCGGCGCGCAGCTAAATGCAAACGAATGCAGCGCAAATGAATGCAAACAGCTGGCGGATCTGCCTGCGCGTGCGAGACAAACTAAGACTGAAAAGCAGGCGGGTTCGGGGCAAACCGGGCATCGCCGACAGCAGAAAGGAGACAGAATTTGGGGTGATGGCGCCTCGACTCTCCTCCTCTTTGGCCTTGATGTGAGCCATCGAGGCCGACGTGCAGTCCTCGTAAGACGCAGCGCAGCCTGGGGCGGGGGGGCGACTGGAGGCCCCCGCGGCGGCGCGGGCCCCACCTGCGCCGCTAGGGGGCCACGGAACTGCCTGGCCCCCAGGGCTCCCCTGGCCTGCTGCCCGGTAACTGGCCGAACCTCGACCCTCGAAAAGGGAATGGCCCGATCCAAGGCTGGCCTGAGCCACGGGCCGGTCCAAGACCTCTGCGAAACGCCCGGGGAATCTCGATTCCTCTCCGAGCGGGGGGAGGGCAGACGCGGGCCAGCTTCGAGCCGCGCCTTCGGGGCCGCCCCCCGCGCTTCACGCGCAGAAGCTGCTGAACATTCCATCCGCGCAAAAACCCCGTGGATTTCGCTGCCGCCACCGACGACCGGACCCCGGGCCGCGACGACATGATTGCCCTTGCAGTCCCTGCGGAGGAAAGGAGGGGCACCCTTACAGCCGGCCGTCGACGGCGAAGCCCCAGGGCGGCTACTGCTAAACGCTGTGCGCACTGGAGCCAGACGCGGCAGTGGCCCCAGTCGTGGAAGCTATTCGCGCGCCTGACCTGGGAACGCCTGTCTCGATGGAGCCTGGGCCAACTTCTCTCATCCTGGAAACATGGAAGCGCTGCAGCCCCGAGCTTCATGGGGCTGTCTGCTCTGTTCTGGGCCAGCTCTGCCTCCCGGAGAAAGCTGGGATCAGGGCTCAGATGCATGGCAAGTGCTATCGCTGCAAGGGAATCGGATGCTCAGTTCACAACTGCATACCTATATTCATCACCTGTTAAAGTCTCCATGGCCTCATCCGAACGGCGCGCCTTCACATGTCGCGTGACATTGGTATTGGCCGTGCCAGGGAGAGACTGCGCGAAAATGCCAGCAGCTGCATGCTTGCTCGAAGAACGAGGTCGCGCTTGGAGGTTGTTGTGTCGCTGAGTGGCTACGGCCATGCAATCAAGGCGACTGTGAATCTCTGCGTCAGAAACCTGACCTGCGAGGGCAGACGCATGGTGCTCAGCAGTGGCAGGGGTCTAGGGGGGGCTTGCAACAGAGCCTCGAAAATAGTTCGGGCCCCTTCGCTCTGCGGCCCCAAACGACACATCGCCCGCGCACCCCTCCGAAGGCGCCTGAGAGGCTGCTTCGCGCTGCTAATTCCATCAGCGGGGCATCCCCCAGAAGCTTGCCTACCTGCTCGACAGAATTAGGGATCTCTTCGCCATTCCCTCCAACGACGCAACGTGCGCTGGGCGCGCGCGCGGGGGGGGGGAGGCACGCTTAGACCATGGGCATAGAGGCCCCTCGTGAAAGTCGAATCGTCGCCACCCCTCGTTATCTGGAGGAAATCGCCCGGAACTTCAGGCGCGTCTGAAGCTGAGACTTCCTCTGGAAGCGTGCAGCGTGATGCAACGTGTCAGCGCGCCCGCATCTGAACCTGCCTGTGGTCTGGTGCCCAGCAAGACGGCCACTCTTCCCAACCCGCGCGGCATCGCGAGAGCAGCCGCGTGGGGGAACACTGATGACGCGCCACCTTGTTGCTGGTCTGCGCGCAGACATGGCCTCGATGTTTCTTTTTACAAAAAAAAAAAAAAAAAAAAACGTTGCACGGCGCTGCTCTGGGGGGTTGAGCTTCCGCGCCATTGTTTTTTTCATGCCGGCGCTGCAGCCCTACCTCGCGCAATAAAACAACAGGTGCTGGGGCCAGCTGTCCGACTGCACTTCGAGACGGTTGTGGTCTATGCATGTTAGAAGCTCGGGGGCATTTCGGCCTGAACGTCGAGCCGCGAGACGCGCTCTGGAAAGGGGCGCTTTGCTCGAGCGCCAGGACCCAGGATTGCTCGCCTTAGCCTCGCGACACATTCTGCCTAGCTCGGTCAGCGACCGATTGCGACAACCACGCCACGCGACGCCACTGCAACGCGGGGGCGAACGCTGGCCGAGCACTTTCGTCTCCGAAAGAAAACCATCCTCGCTGACAGACTGCCGCCGCCGCGCCGCGGGGAGTGGACGCTGCTCTGGAACCGTTGACAACTCAGCCACCCGGCGTCGTTGAGGCGCAGGGCCTGGGTTCTGCAAGTCGCCCTCGTGGAAACTGAAGTTTCTACGGCGCGTTGACGCGCCTGCTTGGCGCGCCCTGCAATTGTGCGAGCATGGCGTTTGCGTTCGCGGCGCCTCGGGCGCATCTTGCGGGACTTCGGGTGCTGCTTGGCTCTAGCTCCCTATTCGCTCTGCAGCACGTGATTGATCTACTCCTGGGTAAGTTACACTGCCGAGGGTGGCCTCTCGGGGAAAAGCGAGCTTCCGACGCGGGCCTGCTGCGTTGGTGACGACTGCGACTTCATCGTTCAGACCTGCTTGCAACCGCTGCGCGCACAATTCGGAATACTTGCCTGCACTGGCGGCCATGCGCTTCGCGGTTGCCCGATCTTCGCTGGAAACACTAATGGCACTGTCGCCGATATAGCTAAGAACGTCGATAGTTGGCTGTCTGACTAGCGAATGATCAAACCCCTGCGCAGCTTGGATCTCACTCGATATGTCGTTAGATAGAAACACCCCCTGCAAGTGAACCCGCTTCGGCAGACAAAACTTTCCGAGCGTTGTGCTGTCCTAGCCGAGGGGGCCCGGGGCATCACCGCGCGTTATTTCTAGCTCCAAAAACAATATGGACCCCGAGCTGCGGGAACTTGCGGCGCAGCACTATCAGGGGGATCATATCGTAATACTTCGAAGAATCTACGACGAGTTGAAAAATCAACCCTCCAAATTCGTCGTCGCAGTCGCTCCGCGCTTCCTGGGGCCACGCGCAGCGCGCTGCTGACTCCTCCTTGGGCGCGCCCCGTGAACGACGATCAACCGGGCGACTCGCCCCGGTCAGCAGGGGGCGCCGCGCTTTCTGCCGCAATCTGCGCATGCCAACATAAAATGCGATTGGCCCGCTTTCCCCCTTGCGCTTGGGGGGCGCGTGTTGGATGATTCAAAGGAGACGACGCGGCATAATCCCCGTGGCTTCGCAGGCACGCCACGTCGAACTTATGCCCTCGAGGCCTCGGCCATCGAGGGCCAGCGCAAATCTCGGGCGTCAGCGGCCAGCGCGGCTAGAGCCGCGCGGCTGAAGCAGGAGCTCTCGCGCAAGACGAGCGATTAGAAACCCGAGCCCTAGGGGCCTCAGAAGGCCCACCCCGGAGCTTCCCATGCAGCGATACGTCGTGCTCGACTAGGTCACTCGCGTCCGTTTTTCGACCATTGGGCCCTTGAGCTGCAGCGGCGGCTCTACCTTGACGGGCAGCGGCAATTTTGTGCAAACCTCTCGCTTCTGCAGCCTTGGCGGTGATGCGCCGGTCCGTCCAAGACTCATGCTGTTCTTTAGTCTCGCCTTGGTCTGCACGGCCCACGTCTGCTAAAATCTCATCAACAGATCTTGATCTTGGGGTGCCCACGAGATCCCCGGCGGCGGCGACAGAACGTTCGAGCGCCGCGCCGAGGCCGAGCTCCGGGAACTCTGCGGCGCACAAACTGTTGACCCCGTTAGCAGGCGTCGTTCGATTCCGAGCTGCGTCGCCGACCCTGGGAAAAAGACAAACGCCTGGGTGGCGGCGTTATGGGGCCATTTCCAGCCGTCAACGATTGCTTGCAAATCCGCGGGGGCCTCAGCTTTGCAGCAGGTCTCGACCCGTCGTGCCTTCCAGCCGCGCCCGAAGGACCCGGGATGGCCAATGGGCGGCCCAGCTCTCTCGCCAAGACAACGCGCCGTGGCAGTGGCAAGACGGCCCCAAGCATTCGAAAGCATCGCCCAGGCCATGCTGGGCGCCACCTGGGGGTCAGACGCGGCCTCGACGGCTCTCTCGGGCGCCCCGTCGACAGACCGCGACGGGGGCTTCGGTGCGGGCCCATAGGGCAACTCCTTGGGCAGCAGGGAGGTCACAGAGTAAACCAGATGCTTTACCTTGTAGCCGTCGTCAGATAGCTAGATGGATAGGCCGATGAGGCTTTGCCGTCCAGCGCGCACCAACAGTCCATCTCTTGAAGCTACTCTCTAACACCTCGTTTAAACTCGAAGAATCAGTGATGCTGGAACCTGTTCCACCTCTGCGCGCAGGCACCGCAGGCGCCGGCGCGAGCAAGTCAGCCAGGGGGGGGACTCCGATGCCCCCGGGCGTTGGAGGCCCATCAGTCTCCTGCGCAAAGGGCTGGGCCCTACACGCTCTGGAGGCTACATCCCAGCTCGGCGAGAATCGTGGCAGTGGCTCCGCGCGCTCCCGTCTGCTGGTGGAGGTAGATATTGCGCACCGCGATCGCCGGCCAGCCTGGCAAGTCGACCCCAACTCGCTGTAGCCGATGTGGATGCGCGACTTCGCGCCCGACTGTTGGAGCTCCGAGGCAAACGCCCGCCCTTGCGAACGCGGCGAGGCCGGCCGAAATGCCGTGGCCCGCCGCAGTTGTAGCCGCTACCGCTGGCATGCTCTAGCCACGTCCTGCACGCCATGAATCCAGCGGCTCCAATTCTACAGCAAGGCGCCCGATCTCCTGCGTTACCACCACTTTCGCCGCACTCTTCACCAAACGCTCTCTGACAGTTCGCTTGCCACCATGTGCATTGGACGTCTCGAACAAGCGGTTATCATCGCTGTTCTCTGTCTCGCAATCTGGGACAGCTCTAGTATTTGATGATGAACCCTGCCACTCTTTGAAAATCAAACACGTGGTCGCGCTCAAAATCGGGACTCGGGGCAAGCCCCGCAGCCACACTTCGATCGGACACGGAGGTTCGCACCTCTTGCATACAACGAGTGCGAGGACCACTTAGCTCGCTTTGCCGTGAACTCAACGAATTGTTCTTTGAAGGCGGCCTGGTCGCTGGCAAGTGCGAACAACTCATCCTGTTCTCCGTTCGAGGACAACAAATTCGCCATTGACTTCTCCTGCGCATCGACTGTGGTCTTCACCGTTGCCGTTGGACTGGTCGCCGTTGCCATCCTGCTTTGACTCAGGACCTGCATCATCACCATCGTCAGCATCCATCTTCGCAGGAATTGTGCGATCTATCTTCGCCAACAGCTCGCGTGACATGTTCCATTCTTCGTTCTGAAATAAAATTTCCTAATTCTGGGGTGTCGCATCCCCGTCTGTGAACGCAAACAGCTTCGACGCATCAAGCGGCGCAGACTCAACCGTCTCTGCGATGACATGCTTTGCCGCCTCCGGGAACTCGATCTGTAACTGATCCACATGTGCCTTCATTTGCACCAATATCATCCTGTAGCTGCTGCTTTTTGGCCTCAAGCTCATCCTGCTTCTTCTGCAACGCAATCTGGGCCTTGCTGAGGTCCCGCGCCACACGCCTGTGCGCCGTTGTAGGTGAGCGCAGCTGCTTGTGCTGGCTGAGCAGCTCCTTGACGCGATCCTCAATGGGTTTCTTGAACGTAGGGCCGCTGGTGCGCAACCTCTTGACATCCTCGGGCTCATTGGTCGTTGACATGATGTTGTCACGCTTGATGCTGTCAGGATCATCGTCCTGCTCGCCGTCGTGTGTCTTGGGTTGCCCAGTGACCAGCCATGGCGCCCCAGCTTCAGTACCTTTCGCGCCTGAGGTGCTGGATGGTGCAGTCGACGTGGTGGGTTGCATAGCCTGGAGCACCTGCGCCAACTAGGCGCCTCGAGCTTCTGGAACCTGTTGGCATCTGGGCTGCTGCTATTCTGTCTATCGCCGCCTTTGCCCTTGCCGAGCTTCTTCCTGCCTTTGCCCTTGCCCTTCTCTGTAGGGCCATTGGCTGCCCACAGAGCTGCATTCTCCTTCGCCTCGTTCGCAATTCTGGTCGGCGCTGCATATCCGCACTGACAAACGACTCTGCTGGCCCAGTTTTGCGATGAACCGCACTTGCCGCAACCCCAGATTGGGTATCTGGGCCCGAGAAGAACGTAATGTCTCGCGAAAAGAGTGCGGGCTGAAACCGCAATACTTTACCGGACCAAACAAATTGAAGGTCGGGTCCGAAGGTGTTTTGCATTCGGGATCGCGATGAAGGCCGAAATCCTCGCACGCAGAAAGAAATGACTCTTGCCCTGAACCACGGCTACGGACTCGAGCCAAACTGGCCTGAGCCAAAACTGCTACGGACAAGGGGGGAGACTGGGGAGGACAGAGGGAGTGCCCGTGGAGGCAGGGGCAGAGGGAGAGCCCGTGGGGGCGAAGAGGAGGAGGCGCCCTGCCCCCGGCAGGAGCTCGGAGGACGGGGATGATGGGAGTGATGTTGCTTCCATCGCTCCTCCTCCTCCTCCTCCTCCTCCTCTTCCTCTTCCTCCTCCTCCTCCTCCTCCTCTTACTCCCCTCCTCCTCCTCCTCCTCCTCCTCGCAGGGCCACATCCAGGAAAAGCATTCCGAGCACCCAGAACAAGATCGAGACAATGACTGCCCGACATGCGAGCGAAGTGTCGAACGAGAGCCGCCTCCCTGGGCCCGACACGTGAAAACCCTCCAACGTTGGTACTTTCCTGGTGCTCGACACTCTGTTTGGTGATCAAGGCCGAGTTAGTCGGAAAATCATTCGGCGGCGAGCGAGGGGGGGAACTGAGAAGTCGAAGGCCTTCTCAGAAGGCTCGGGAGTCCTCCAGCCCTGTGAGAAGTTATCTAAGTCTTCCCCGGTGACGCAGGAAACCTCTCAGAAGGCGTGAGGGCTTCTCAGAACCCCAACCGACTTCCGAGAAGGTCTTCTCCTTCTCTCTTCCCCCCAGGCGCGCCGCCGAATTCGGTTTGGGATCGTAACTCGGGTCTCTGGCGGCCGTTCGGGACGATCTGGGCACCCCCGGAACGCCCTCGGCGAGGCGCAGCTGCTGGCAGTCATCCTGGGGCTGGGAAATCACCGAGAACCGACGAGAAAGCTGGAAAACCTAGAGCGTTCTGAAAAGGTCAACTCCTTCTGACTTCCCCCCGCCCTCGCTCGCCGCCGAGTCATGATGTGAGAGAGGAGGGGGGTGCAACGCGTGGGCAGGGGGCCGAGGGCGACGGGCAGGACAGTACGGGCAAGGGAAGAGGAGGAGGAGCACGACAGCTGCCATCAGCGGCCCTCTAACGGAGACTCCACTGACGGGTACTCTGGGCAGTAACCCAGCGAACCCAATCCTCTCCGATGTGGGCAACGCTGCAATGCCAGGAAGAGGCCTCAAAGTGGCAGCGTTCGGCAACTGTCTAAAATACCTGCTAGTGAGTACCCGTTAAAGGTGCGCCGATGCCAGGCGGCGGTGCGGGGGCCAGCTCCTGATGCTGGTGCGAGCCATGCTGAAGAGCAGCGCCAGGGCCGCAGGCCACTGCCCGCCTTGGCTGCCCTGGCACGCAAGACGCGACGCGTCGCGTCTTGATGTGGAGCTCAACGCGCAGACTGGAAACGTAGACGATGTGATGATGATGCTGCTGCTGATGATAATGATAAATGATAGATGATAATGATAATGATGATGATGATGCTGATGCTGATGCTGATGCTGATGCTGATGATGATGATGATGATGATGATGATGATGATGATGATGATGAATAATAATAGGATGGTGGTGATGATCAGCATCATCAGCAGCATTCTCATCAGCAGCATCATCATTATGACCATCGTCATCCGCATCTTCAGCACAATCAATACCATCAACATCAGCACCGCCACCATCAGCCGCGATACCCTCGTCAGAACGTGGGCCGAGACGCCAAACCAGCTCGCAACGCATGTCGACACGGGCGCCTGGAGCACCCCACGCGCTGCGCCTCCACACGGGACCGCCGAGGCAGCCGAGCCGCCCGCCCTTCTCCAGCGCACTCATGGCGGCGCCGCACGAGACCACGTCCATGGGGATGCCCAGCTCGGCCTCGGCCGGCGGCTGACCCGGGGCAGGAGAGTCCAGAATCGGCCCGACAGGCAGGATCGGCGACCGGCGTGAACCGCATCGGCGGAAGTCGGCAGCCGAGTCGGGAGAAGTCGAATCGGCGGAGCTCGGCAGGCTGGCAGGCCTCCAGTAAGAAGCCGGAGCCCACATCGAAATCCGAGGTAAGGAGCCGAACTCTATACACCGACGCCTTGAACCTCGCACAGGAAAACGGATCATGGCGTACACGGGATCCTGGTGTGTACATTTTTCGTTGTTTCCCAGTGAAAGCGAGGAAAAAGCATACACCACACCACCCCGACGTCGTCCACGACCCTAAAAAGGTCGTGGGATTGAAGAACCGCCCGCCACTGGTAATGTATATGTTCCAGTTTCCGACGAGGCCGAATCGAATCGGACCCAGAAGCCATCGAAAGCGAATCGGATCAGATCGGAGGAATCGAGACGAACGAGCCCTTGGCTCGGGGCTCTGGCTGCTTCCTCCTCCTCCTCCCCTCCTCCTCCTCCTCCTCCTCCTCCTCCTCCTCCTCCTCCTCCTCCTCCTCCTCCCACACTCGTGCTTGCTGCGTCCGCGGGCCCGCGGGGGCACTCCACCGGTCACTCTCGACGGGCCTCTCCCCGGGTGCTGCGTGCGACGTCTGCGGGCAGCCGCGCCCAGAAGCAGGAAGGGAGGCTCGGCTCGGCTCGGCCCCGCGCGCGTGGCGCCATCCAGGCGCGGCGGAGGGGGCGCCGAGGCGCCTGCGTGGAGGAAGTCGGCAGAACAGCACTCACATCTGACACTTCTGCGTGAGAGGCAGGAGGAGGAGGAGGAGGAGGAGGAGGAGGAGGAGGAGGAGGAAGGGGAGGGGGAGGAGGGGGAGGGGGAGGAGGAGGAGGAGGAGGAGGGGGGGGAGAGAGCGAAAGGCAACGCGGGAACCTACAACTACACCGAGAGGTGGCTTCGGGGGCCACGGCCTACCTCTCCCGCCCGCCGCCCTCGCCATCCCAGCCAGCGCTCGCCTCGACAGAAGGCAACCACAAGTGCCAAAAACACTCGAACTTTCGGAGGTCCGCGCGGATCTCTCGCGCTGTCGCTGAGCCCGCTTGCCTCCCCAGCTTCACGCTGCGAACAGCACCAGCGTCTGTACAACATGGCAGACACAAAATCAAGGAATATCGAAAACTAACGCAAAGAAGCAAGACGGGCTGATCTGGACGGTGCGCCAGCGTATGCAGTGACGTATCACGCGTTTCCTTCGGTATGCGGCCGTGGGCCATATGCCAGCCCGCCATGACATATCGAAGTGGTTCCACAAACAACATCTGCCGCCCTGCTCGACGCATGCTCGATCAAGCGTGACCCCACCCGGTCGAATCCAGAGATCAACATGCTCGCATCGTCGAGTCCTGACCCAGAACGCTCTCAACGGAAAGGACCGCTGACACGCATCACAAGTCTGCAGAAATGAAAACCGACCTGCCCGCTGGTTTTTCCATAACTAGTCTCTCAGCCAGGGCGTGAAGGTGGTCTACAATCCACGGCAAGGGGCAGTAAGCTTCTCTTCCTCCTACTCCCCTTCATCCTACTTCTGCTGCTGCGTCTGGAAACTGTTAAAACAATGATGTTGGGAGACAGTGGAAAACGTGGTTTTCCCCAGCGCTGTAGCGCGCCTATAGAAAACAAAAGGGAGGCGGGGCAAACTGGATCGCCCGAGACGTCCCCGCGACCGCCCTGGCGCCCTGCGTGCAGGGGCAGATTCCTGCGCACCCCCTCTGGGCGTCAGCCCACGCCTGCCACGCCCTGCGACCCCAGCGTGGATAGAGACTGCGCTCAGGGACCACTCCCTGCGCACCGCGCGCCCCGTCTGGGTTGCGAACAAGCCACACCTGACACGCCCGAGCCTGGCGTGGACAGAGACCGCACTTGGGGACCATCCCTTGCGCACGCCCTCTGGTGCCAAAAGGGCCACAAGTGCTTTAAGATGGCCTCCACGATGGCGCAATATGGTCCAAGTTGGCTCAAGATGGCCTCATCAGACCGGCGACATGTGATGAAACTATTATGCAGCAGGACAGGAGAGGGGCTAGACGCTAGACCAGGTTACGACGTAGGCCGGATCGCCCTCCAGGCCAGAAAGGCCCTCAGCAAGCCGCTCAGTTCGAGGCCGCACCAAGGCTACACCAGGTTACCGTGAAGGTCGCACAGCCCTCTGGGCGTCGGTGGTCTAGAGAGTTTTTCCTTCCAACCCCCTTCTTCCCCTTCGGGGAGGGGTTTACCCCTCCCCCTACCCCCTCCCCTGGACCTGGACGGAGGGTTCCGCGGGTCGTTGTGGCGTCCAAGATGACCCAAGACGGCTCCAAGAGGGCCTCAGAGAGCCCAAGATAGCCTCCAAGATGGCCCAAGATAACGCAAGATGCCTCAAGATGGATCCCAAGATGCTCCAAGAGGCCTAAAGACCGCACCAAAACGGCCCCAAGTGGCCAAAGAGCTCCCCACGGAGCTCCCCGAGAGGCCCAAATCATGCCAAAACTGGCGGACAATCAATGTTTTTGGCTTCTCGCTTTTTCGCTTCCAATGGCCTTCACAGGCCTCAAGATGGCTCCAGATTGCCCAAGAGGGCCCCAAGAGAGGCCCAAGAGAGCCCCAAGACGGCCCCAAGAGCGCCCAAAAGCGCTCCAAGATCGCCTCACGAGGGGCCCAAAAAGCGATTCGAGGCACTCTAGAGGGGCAGGGCTAATATACGACCCCCCCTTCTTTGATAGATGCCCTCCAACATGGCCCCAAGAGCGCACCGAAGGCTCCCAAGAGCGCCCCAAGAGCGCCCCAAGAGGGCCCCAAGAGGCCCCAAGAGGCGCCCACGAGGCCTCCAAGAGGCTCCCAAGAGACCCCCAAGAGGCCCCAAGAGGCTCCCCGAGATACGCAAGAGGCCCCCGGGACTGCCAAGAGGCCCCAAAGACGGCCCAAGAGGCCTCCTCCTCCGTTTTTTCTTCCTCCTCCCTCCTCCCCCTCCCTCTCCTCCTCCTCCTCCTCCTCCTTCTCCTTCTCCTTTTCCTCCTTCTCGTCCTCCACGTCCTCGCCCTCATCCATCTCCTCCTCCTCCTCAACTTCCTCCTCCTCCTCCCCCTCCTCCTCCTGCTCCTGCTCCTCCTCCTGCTCCTCCTGTTCTTCCTCCTACTCCGACGACGACGACTCCTCCTACATCCTTCCCCTCTTGGGGTATATGGCGGCTTACCCCGCCCTTTGTTCTTCCGCATGCTCCCCCGCTTCCCTCATCACCTCCACTCCCCTGGGACTCATTTCTGGACGGGCTGGTGGGGATACGGGAAGCGTCTGGAATTTGCGGGTCTACACCAGGATACGATGAAGGCCGTCCCCCCTCTGGGCCACGCAAGCGGGGCTACATCAGGTTACAACGAGGGCCGGCGCGCCCTCCAGGCTAGACATAAGGGGCTACACCAAGCTACAATGTCACATCGGCATTCTCCCTGGCACCGAGGTATATACAAGTGGCATCGATCGGCATCCATGGAATTTTTCCAGGGGGGACAGATAACAAATAGTTATTCGGATGCGATTTAATGGCAGTCGGGATCCGGGGGGGGGACGGGGGGGTCATTATCTTTTTAACCCGTTTTGGACATTAACGGCTGTAAGAGACGATGTCTGTCGCCGTGCACACCCTTCCTGTCCCTTCCTCCTCCTCCTCCTCCTCCTCCTTCTCCTCCTCCTCCTCGTCCTCGTCTTTGTCCCAGCATCCTCGTCCTCCGACTCATCCATCCCTTTCCCCTTATCCTCCCTTTCCCCCTGTTCTCCTTCTACGCCCCCTCCCCCCTTCCCCTGAGGGCAGGGCCATGCTCTGCAGCAGCTCCAGCGCCAACTCCCACCTTCGGGGGCTTCTGACGCAGCGCAGCGGTCGAGAAACGATTCACATTTTGAGGTCCGCGCTGAATTTTGGGATCGGCGCTACCAGCGTCCTTGGCGGACGGAACGCTCCAGGGGCGGCGCCGGAGGTGCCGCCAGGGGGCCTTAACGCTGATGAGAAACATCCGCGCGGACTTCCGAAATACCATGTTGCGCGGTTCTTCCTCGAAGGGAGCAGACCGAGGTCGCCTGCCTTGGCGTTTTGCGCCATTCAGAGCGCGGATAAATCTTGAGCAGGGACCGTCCGTCCCGGCATTCCTATAGTCCTACCACGAAATGTTCGTACAACCCAACAATGTTCTAAAAACAAAACAATGTTCTTAGAGCATAAGCCCGGTGTGCTACAATAAAACAGACTCCGCCAGAAATGTTCCAATAACATTTTGTTGTAACCACAAAAGGTTCTTAGAACATTATTTGGCGGGATTCTAGTTGTGGATGCCACGACAATGGACACTCTAACAATCCTATCATCTAAGTACCATGTGTTCAGCATGTAGGATAGATATGTTATGATAATGCTTCAAGCATGAATTTTACAGTATGCAACAAGTTTAAAACATGTTCTAGACATCTGGAAATTATATTTGGCGACATGCTTCCTCTCCATGGATCGTCCTCCACAATACTGTAGTCGGCTACACGTAAGAGTGACCCTGGGTAAGAGTGACCTCTGGTGCGCGGCTTTTGGGGGGCCGCGGGGGGGGGGGGGGGGGGGGGGGGGGGGGGGGCAAACACGAGCGCGCAAGACGCCACTGCCGCCTCGCGCTCGGCGACCGGGGACCCCAATTGGCCCGCACCCAAGGTCACTCCGGCACAGGAGGAGGAGGAGGAGGAGGAGGAGGAGGAGGAGGAGAATTTGGAGCAGGAGTTGCACAAGACTGCAGGCGAGCCAGGACGCCTCGCCACTGCTCGCGCCCGGGCTCCTCGGGGGCCGCACGCTGGATCGCCCCCGCGCCGACGACGCCGGCGAGGCGCAGACGCCTGGCAGCTGCGTCTGGGGACGGGGGGCCACGCTCGCTGGTCCACTTCGGGGGCGGTCTTTTGAGGTACTGGGAGGGCCCCCCCGCTGGAGGATGAGGTCCGTGTCCGACGCCTTGGGTGAGGAGGAGGAGGAGGAGGAGGAGGCGAGACGAGATCAATGACGAAGTCAAATGGAGGAGGAGGAGGAGGAGGAGGAGGAGGAGGAGGAGGAGGAGGAGTGGTGGGCGTTCCTGGGCCCTCTGCATGGCTCGGGCTGGGCGAAAGGGGGGGAATAGCAAAGGGGGGGGGGGAGAATCGGCTCAGATGGCTGATGCTCCCGGCGCCCCTCGGCGCCAGAGGCGGCCATGCATCGAGGACTGGGCCCCTCGGTGGGGCCGAAACCAGCATGCAGCAGATTTCGTACCCCCCCCCCTTTTCCCTATCCTCCCCGTTCGTCCGGCCCCACTGGTGAGCACGCCTCCTGGCCGAGGCAAGGAGAGCGTATACTGTATACACCACCGTGAAGCCCAGCATGGCCCACGCCAGGCACGGTGGTGGTGCATGCGCCGCCGTGCCGCTGGGACGTGCCGCGGGCGTGCCCTCAAGTCCTCTGCCTCCTCCTCACTCCTGAAGAGTCGTCGAGGGCCCAGGAATCCACACTCTCGATCCTGGCCATCGCTCGGACGCCCATTCCCCGTGTTCTTCTTCGGTTCCGTGCGCGGTTTTTTCGCCAAATGAGCAAGGATGCTCCTCGATGGCCCTCGCCGAGGAAAAAATGCACACGTCCGAGCGATGCCAAGCGAAGAGTCGTCGAGGGCCCGGGAAGCCACACCCTCGACGCTCCCGGGGCCTCCCGCGGCTCGTCGGGGGCCGTGCGCGTCGTGCCGCAGGACCCCGCAATGGGCCCAGAGAGGGCCTCTCCGGACGGGCCGAGAGAGCCTCCAGCGATGCCAAGCGAAGAGTCGTCGAGGGTCCAGGAATCGAAGGATTGCAAAAAAACCCAGGATTGCAAAAAAACCCAGGGTTTTTTTTGCAATCCAGGGTTTTTTTGCAAAAACCCAGGGTTTTTTTGCAATCCAGGGTTTTTTTGCAATCCTGGGTTTTTTTGCAATCCTTCATTCTCCATTCTCCTGGGGCCTCCCGCGGCTCGTCGGGGATCTGGCGCGTCGTGCCGCAGGACCCCGCCGGGGCCCAAAGAGGGCCTCCGGACGGGCCGAGAGAGCCTCCAGCGAGGCCAAGCGAAGAGTCGTCGCGGGTCCAGGAATCCACATTTCGGGGATGGACAGACCTCCCTTTAGTAAAACGTGGTTTAGTGAAAACGACCTGAGGCCCAAACCTGGCGGGCGCAAGCCTGGAAAATAACGGCCACGGCGCCCTCTCGAGAGCCGAAAACGGACAATTCACTAATCGACGTGTCACTGTTGGGGGTTCTGTCCACCCCCGAACATTCTCAATTCTCCTGGGGCCTCCCGCGGCTCGTCGGGGATCTGGCGCGTCGTGTCGCAGGACTCCGCCGGGGCCCAAAGAGGGCCTCCGGACGGGCCGAGAGAGCCTCCAGGAGGCTGAAAGACGGCCCGAGAGAGCCCCGAGTCTCCGAAAGATCGCTCCAAGACGCCCCAGCGTGCCCCATGACGGCCCTGGAGGCCTCCGAGACGCCCCCAGAGGCCTCCAAGGGGCCTCCCAAGAGGACCCCAGGAGGCCAAAATCTTATATGTTCCTTGGAATTTGGGAGGTTGTGGGCCTTTCCGCCTTGTCGGCTTCCCGACGCTCCACGATGGTACTCCAGATTTCGTAATACAAGGGAGGGGGTCTCAACCCTCCCAGACGAGAAGTTTTAGACCCTCCCAGACCATCCATGAAAGGGCGGCCCTTGCCCAGACCCCCCCGAACCCTCCAAGACAGCGCAAATCAGACCACCCCCCAAATGTGACCCCCCCGACTTTATTGTGGAATCCGGAGTACGAGTCCCCCCAAGATCGCCCCAAGACGGCCTAAGAGGCCTCCAAGAGGGCCCCAGATCGGCCCCCAGAGGGCCCCACGACGGCCCCCGAGGCGCCCCAGACGGCGCACGAGGCCTGAAAGGCGACTCCCAGAAGGGGCCCTCGGCCTCGAGGGGCCCCTAGGCCCCCTAAAAAGGCACCCAAGAGGCTCCCAAGAGGCCCCCGAGGAACCACAAGAGGCCCCCAAGAGGCCCCCAAGAGACTCCCAAGGGGCCCCTAAAACTGGATGGCCTCCAAGACGGCCCTGGAGCATTCCAAGAGGGCCCCAAATGGCCCAGAGAGGCACCCCAAACGGCTTCCGACGGGCCAGGAGCCCCACCAAAACGGCCGAAGATGGCCCTAAGATGGCCCAAGACGGCCCAAGAGGCCTCCAAGATGGCCTCCAAGACGGCCCAAGAGCTCTCCAAGACGTCCTCCCAGAAGGCCCGAAAGGGTCAAAATGGCCTCCAGACGGCCAAGATGACCTTCAAGATGCCCACGTGTTCCCCGAAGGCTTTCCAAACCGATTCGGGGAACACATGGTCCGATAGCTTGGCAGGTCTGGCCTCAACGTTCGGCCACATAGGAACTTCCAAAAAGGCAGGGGGCGGCGGTGATTCGCCGTAGGCGTCTTCGATCCGCCGACCCCTGTGGTCTTGCAACAGGGGTGCCCCGCCGCGTGTTGGACCTTAGACGAAATGGTTTTGGTTCTTTTTCACACGAACTCTTCCTGGGGCTTCGGCCACTCGAACGGTCCGCAATTGCCAAAGCAAGTTTCCCAAGACGGCTCAAGACGGCCTCCGGGACGGCTAAGACGGCCTCCGATTGCCTCCAAGATGCCTCCAAGACGGCTAAGATGGCTTCCAAGACAGCTGAGATGGCTCCAAGATGCGTCCCAAACGGCCCAATATGCTCCCAAGACGGCCTAAGATAGCCTCAGGATGGCCCAACACGGCCCAAGAGACCCCCAAGAGGCTTCCAAGACGGCCCCGGAGGCCTCCAAGAGGGCTTCCAGGAAGGCTCGAAGAGGCCAACAACTGTGATTCTCTTTAGGTTTTGACGGATTTTGTCACTCGCGCATTTTCGGCCTTCAGACGGCCCAAGCGGCCAACAAGGTCGCCCCAAGATCATCCAAGAGGCTTCCAAGATGGCCCCATGACGGCACAAGAGGCCCCCAAGACGGCCCCAAAAGGGCCTCCAAGACGGCCCAAGAGGCATCCAAGACGCCCAAGGTGGTCTCCAAGCCGGCCCTGAAGCGCCCGAAGAGGGCCCCAAGTCGGTTGAGAGATGCCCCCAAGACGGCTTCCGACGGCGTCAGATGGGTCAGGAACGCCTTAAGATGGCCCAAGATGGCTTTTAAGATGGCCCAAAACGGCCCAAGAGGCCCCCAAATGGTCTCCAAGACGGCTTAAGAGGCGTCCAAGAGGGCCTCCAGGAAGGCCCGACGAGGCCAAATTCACTGATTTCACGTAGCACTCGCTTCTGTTCGGCCTTCCGACGGCCCGAGACGGCCCAAGAGCCCCGACAGACCCCAGAGCGGCCCAAGAGGCCCCCAAGACGGCCCCAGGAGGGCCCCCAGACAGCCCAAGAGGCCTCCACGACGCCCAAGATGGCCTCCGAGACGGCCCTGGAGCACCCCAGGAGAGATTCATGTCGGGCAAGAGAGGCCCCCAAGACGGCTTCCTACGGCGTCAGACGGGCCAGGAATGCCCCAAGACGGCCAACGAAGCCCAAAGGCTCCCAAGAGGCCCAAGGTAGTCCCCAGGAGGCCTCCAAGCGGCTCCCAAGAAGCTTCCAGGAGGCCCCAGGAGTGTCCCCCAAAGCTCCCAAAATGCCGTAGACCCGGGATTCCGGAGGTCGGAAACCCGAAACTCCAGAGTTTAGGGTTTCAGCTCCGGATATCAGGTGCGGTCCCCTCCTCCTCCTCCTCCTCCTGCTCCTGCTCCTCCTCCTCCTCCTCCTCCTCCTCTTCCTCCACGGCCTGGTCCTTCAGAGTCTTTTTCTCTTCCTCCTCCGCCGCCTCCTCCTCCTCCTCGTGGGGGGGAAGAAGAGAAGGGGAGGAGAGGAGAGGAGGAGAAGAGGAAAGGAGAGGAGAGGAGTGGAGAGGAGAACATGAGAGGACAATCAGAGAGGGCAGAAAAGAGGAGAGGAGAAAATGAGAGGAGAGCGGAGGACAGGATGAGAGGACAGGAGGAGAGGGGAGCAGATGAGGGGAGAGGAGATGAGGAGAGGAGGGGAGAGGAGAGGAGGAGAAGAAAGGAGGTGAGGAGCAGGCGAGGAGGAGGAGGGGAGAGGAGAGGAAGGAAGAGGAGGAGAGAGGAAGACATGGAAGCAGGAAAGGAGAGGAGAACATGAGAGGAGAGGGGAGGATTTGGGTAACCCCAAATGGGGTTCAATTGAAAAGGGGGTGGTGCAGTAGACTTGGGGCAAGTAGATTGCAAATGTATTGTGCCGGAGAGTTGCATGGTATTGTTTTGCAAGTGATGTATTTGCACGCCCCAAATTGCAGCAATTGTATAGCACATGAACGTGCAGCAATACATTTGCATCCCGAAATGTATCACACGCCCCAAATGTATTGCAACCCCACAAATCTATTGCACCACCCCCTTCACTGGACCCCATTTTGGGTCAACCCGAGAGGACTGGAGGAGAGGACAGGAGCAGAAGAGGAAGAGACCACTGCCCGGAAGACCAAGGAATGCGCAGGGCGGGAATCTGTAACTTCGGAAATCGGAGATTTCGGGTAGGACCCCTGAAGAGCAATCCGGAATTCCAGGTTTCCGCGCCGCCCCCCCTTCTGCGCGACCGTTTCCCATGATTCTCGTCCTCGTCCTCGTCCTCCTCCTCTTTCTCCCTCCTCCTCATCCCTTTCTTCTCCTCCTTCCTTATCATGCTTCTTCTCCTCCTACTCCTCCCTATCCTACTCCTTTTCCTCCTCCTTCTCTCCCTCCTTCTTCTCTTTCTGCCGCCTTCTCTGCGCAAGCTCCGACCCCCCTCTTCCCTTCTCAGCGCGAACTCCCGCGCGCGCACTCCTCCAATAATCGTCATCGGTATCGCCAACATCGTAATCATCGTCATCATCGTCATCATCATCAGCAGCATCACCATGATAATCGTCATCATCATCAGCATCATCATCACAACCACCACCATAATCATCAGCACCAGCATCAACACCATCCTTTTCCTCGTCATCAGCATCATAATACTTAATCAATATCGCCAGGGCCATCGTAACCATCATCAACATCAATGTCGTCCTCGTCGGAAACATCATCATCATCATCATCATCATCAGATTCGTCTTTATCTCCGAGATCCTTGTCATTTTCATCATCATCATTATCATCATCAACATCATCATTGGCATCATCATCACCGTCAACGTCATCGTCATCGTCGTCGTCGTCGAAGTCGTCGTCTCCATCACCATCACCACCATCAGCATCGCCAGCATCATTATAGCCATCGTCATCGTCTCGTCACCATGATCATCGTCATCTTCGTCACCATCGTGATCACCACCGCCATCACCAACATCATCTTCATCATCATCATCATCATCATTACCGTAATCATCATCGTCCTCATCATCAGCATCGCCATTACTATCACCATCATCCTCATCATCACCATCATCATCATCATCATCAACATCATTATCATTGGCATCGTAATCATCATCATCACCGCCTCCACCATCACCACCAACATTGCTAGCATTGTCATCAACGTCCTAATCGTCACCATCCCCGTCGTCAGCAACACAAGCACCATAATTATCAGCAGCATATTTCGCGTCATCATCATCATCAGCAACATCATGATCGTCGTTTTCGTCGTCGTTGTCATCGCCATCATCAATATCATCGTCATCGTCATCGTCATCGTCATCATCATTATCATCATCATCATCGCCATGCTCGTCGTCATCGGGGTCATTTTCATAGTCACCATCTGCCTCATCGTCGTCATCGGCACCATCATCATAAACATGAGAGACGTACTCAGCATCGTCAGCATCATTAGCACACATCGTCATCAGCACTGCCGTTGTCATTGCCATCATCCTCATCGCCATCATCATCATCATCGTCATCATCATCATCATCACCTCATCATCATCATCCCCATCATCCCATCGCTTTCGACAGCATCGTCATGGTCAGCATGATCATCAGTGTCATGATTCCCCTCCATCGTCGTCAATGTCGTTGTCATCATCCGCGTCATCCTGTTCATCCTCATCGTCGCCACAATCATCGTACGAAGCAGCATGAGATGCGACATCATCATCATCATCATCATCATCATCATCATCACCATCATCATCATCATCACCAGCATCATCAGCATCGTCATCATCACCATCATCATCATGACCGATGACCAGCATCGTCATCGTCGTCACAGGCATCATGCTCATCCGTACCATCCTGGCCCCTACCCTCATCGTCCCAATTGTCATCGTCATCGCAATGCCCATCAAAATCAGCACCAGCATCAGCAAGGTCATCGACATGATACGCATCGTTATCGTCATCGTTTCCATTATCATTATGACCCCCCTCATCCTCAACATCATTGTCATCGTCACCATCACCAAGGACCAAGGGGCCGCCAGGACTCTGAGCTTCCTGCGGGGCCACCAAGAGCCTCCTGAGGGGCCACCAGGAACCTCCAGCGGGGCCACCAAGAACCTCCTGCGGGGCCACCAGGAGCCTCTGGAGGGGCTACCAAGGACCTCCTGCGGGGCCACCAAGAACCTCCTAGGGACCACCAAGAACGTCCTGAGGGGCCACTAAGAACCTCCTAAGGGGCCACCAAGAACCTCCTGAGGGGCCACCAAGAGCTTCGAACCCTAAACTCCGAAGTTTAGGGATTCTCCCCTCCAGATTCCAGTGGAATCGGAAGAGGGAATCTCCTAAACTCTGGAGTTCAGGGATTGAACCTCTGGATTCTAATGTTTTTCCCTGGGCAACCTTCCGCAAACGTTGGAGGTCGAAAGAAAACCTAAAGCGGAGTTCATTCAACACCTACGGATGACTCTGGGTGTTTGAAGGATGTTAGTCTCCTGGGGCCCCGTGGGAAGCCTCTTGGGCTCTTGTGGGTATCTTGGGTCCGTCTTAGGGCCATATTCAGCTGTCTGGGCCGTCTGGAGGTCATCTGGAGCCGCCTTAGCGTCCGGCAGACCCGGGCCTGACCCAACACACTGGCCGCAGACGGCGCAGAAAGGAAGATCCCGGAAGCATGCGAAAGCTGCAGGAATCGAAAAGGCCGGTCGGGAAAAGTCCAAGCGCTCTCTCGGGGGCCCTGCAGAGCCTCCGTCCGGGACACGTCGGAGAGCCCAGAGGCGCGAGCATGCTGGAAGCGAAACGGGCAGGGCCGCCGCAGGTGAGGGGCTTCTCCGAGCCCGGAGATGCGAGGACGTCGCAGGCGAAACTGGCCAGGACCCCCCTGGCGCGGGGCATCTCGGAACCCAGAGCTGTAAGGATGTCTAAGGCAAAACGAGCTAGATCACACCTCGCGCGGCATCTCGGAGCCCAGGATTGCGAGGATATCCTCGGCGCATCCCCCCGTGAACATTCCAAGGGGGCAAGGGGATGCATTAATGTCGACAGAGCGATACATGCGGTCCGATGAGGCCACCGGCTCCGATAAGGAGGGCCACAAGACGGCCCACCACCACACAAGCGAAGCTTGTTCTTGGTTGAACTTGTGTCGAAGGCTGTTCCCTCCCGACAAGAGGCCTCTGCACTAGACCATGTAACGTTAAATGAATGGAGAGAGGGGAGCACGACGGCGACGACTATGTACGGAACACTTCAGAAATGAGGATACCGATGCTGCTGCTGCTTTCCGACAACGAAGGTATCAGCCTTGTCACTCGAGTCTCTCTACTTGGATTCCGAAAGGGACACACGCCCTTTGCACCCCGCCTCAGGAATGGTTACGTCTCCGGGATCGTCTTCTCCTAGTAGGCCTCCGACTGCATAACCGGTTCGCCCTAAGTGCTTGACGTAGAAGTTCAGGTATGGGAGCCCACTTTGCGTGCGCCCATGAACAACTTTCAGCTCAACCTTACCAAAGGCAATCCATCCTTGAGTCCCGACGATAGGTTGCGACGCAACGTAGTGATACCCTCCAGCGTGTTCTGCCTCTGCCCAAGCCCCTGTAACATTCAACTCCTCGAAATACATATCCGCACAATGTCCAGCCAATTGGCGCGCATCCGCCTCAACGCGAAGCAATACCCGTGTCTGCCTTCCACGAGGGATGTTTACCAGAAGATGCTTGCCCGGCTTCATCAAATCAAATCGCTGACCAAGGACATTTTGCAGGTGGGGATCGCCAGTGGCAGCCACACCGCCGGCTCCGCCCGCCATGGGAGCTCCAGAAAGAAATGTCGGGTGAGGCGTCGGCCAGCCCGGAAGAAACGTCGGGCTCGGCGTCGGGCTGGACGTGGGGAAGGACGTCGGAAAGGCCGTCGGGTATGCCGTCGGGTTGGGGGTTGGGTAGGGAGTCGGGTCGGGCGTTAGGTTGGGCGTCGGGTTGGGCGTCGGGTAGGGCGTCGGGTAGGGCGTCGGGTACGTCGTCGGGGCGGGCGTCGGGTACGGCGTCGGGTAGGGCGTCGGATAAGGCGTCGGGTAGGGCGTCGGGTAGGGCGTCGGGTACGGGGTCGGGGCGGGGGTGTATTTGATCCACATTTCGAGCGCTGCCACATGGTAGTAGGGTCCAGGACCTGTCCTAGGCTCGTATCCTGCCCCGTCGCGCGTAATGCCCATGCAATTCGCATTTGCACTGCATATAGACTGGGCGATGGCGAGGGTGGCCTGGTGGCAACGATTTGACCAGGGACTGATACCTGGGCACCCTGACCAGCTTGGCCATGTGGAATCCAAATTGCACGACAGTGAAGTACCTTGGCATTTCCTGTACGAGTACCAGGTTGCCACAGACGAATTGTCACTGACACCCTCTCTGGACTTCGTCAGCTGCGTCACCGGTTTCTCGCCTCCTGGCACGAGTGCAGCGCCAGGGTGGATTCCGACCAGAACAACGGTCAAACAACACGCATGTATAACCTTCATGCCGGAGAGGAGATCACGAGTGTTGCAGTATTCGAAGCAGTGTGAGCAAAACTGCCTTCCAGGAAGCTTGACGGACCACGTCTATATGAGCCAAAGTGGCCGGGGTGCGAAGTCGGGTGTCCTCAACTCCCTCCGGATCTCCTGTGTCAATAGCATTCTCTGTCAGGGACTCGTCACCATCACCAAGGACCTCCAGCCAAGACTCTGAGCCTCCAGAGGGGCCACCAAGAGCCTCCGGAGGGGTCGCCAAGAAGCTCCTGAGGGCCCACCAATCACCTCTTGAAAGGCCACCAAGAGCCTCTGGAGGGGCCACCGAAAACCTCTTGAAAGGCCACCAAGAGCCTCTGGAGGGGCCACCAAGAACCTCCTGAGGGGCCACCAAGAGCTTCGAACCCTAAACTCCGAAGTTTAGGGATTCTCCCCTCCAGATCCCAGTGGAATCGGAAGAGGGAATCTCCTAAACTCTGGAGTTCAGGGATTGAACCTCTGGATTCTAATGTTTTTCCCTGGGCAACCTTCCGCAAACGTTGGAGGTCGAAAGAAAACCTAAAGCGGAGTTCATTCAACACCTACGGATGACTCCGGGTGTTTGAAGGATGTTAGTCTCCTGGGGCCCCGTGGGAAGCCTCTTGGGCTCTTGAGGGTATCTTGGGTCCGTCTTAGGGCCATATTCGGCTGTCCGGGCCGTCTGGAGGTCATCTGGAGCCGTCTTGGCGTCCGGCAGACCCGGGCCTGACCCAACACACTGGCCGCAGACGGCGCAGAAAGGGAGATCCCGGAAGCGTGAGCAAGCTGCAGGAATCGAAAAGGCCGGTCGGAAAGAGTCCAAGCGGTCTCTCGGGGGCCCTGCAGGAGCCTCCGTCCGGGACACGTCGGAGAGCCCAGGGGCGCGAGCATGCTTGAAGCGAAACGGGCAGGGCTGCCGCAAGTGAGGGGCTTCTCCGAGCCCGGAGATGCGAGGACGTCGCAGGCGAAACTGGCCAGGACCCCCCTGGCGCGGGGCATCTCGGAACCCAGAGCTGCAAGGATGTCTAAGGCAAAACGAGCCAGATCACACCTCGCGCGGCATCTCGGAGCCCAGGATTGCGAGGATATCTTCGGCGCACCCCCCCGTGAACATTCCAAGGGGGCAAGGGGATGCGTTAATGTCGACAGAGCGATACATGCGGTCCGATGAGGCCACCGGCTCCGATAAGGAGGGCCACAAGACGGCCCACCACCACACAAGCGAAACTTGTTCTTGGTTGAACTTGTGTCGAAGGCTGTACCCTCCCGACAAGAGGCCTCTGCACTAGACCATGTAACGTTAAATGAATGGAGAGAGGGGAACACGACGGCGACGACTATGTACGGAACACTTCAGGAATGAGGATACAGATGCTGCTGCTGCTTTCCGACAACGAAGATATCAGCCTTGTCACTCGAGTCTCTACTTGGATTCCGAGAGGGACACACGCCCTTTACACCCCGCCTCAGGAATGGTTACGTCTCCGGGATCGTCTTCACCTAGTAGGCCTCCGTCTGCATAACCGGTTCGCCCTAAGTGCTTGACGTAGAAGTTCAGGTATGGGAGCCCACTTTGCGTGCGTCCATGAACAACTTTCAGCTCAACCTTACCAAAGGCAATCCATCCTTGAGTCCCGACGATAGGTTGCGACGCAACGTAGTGATACCCTCCAGCGTGTTCTGCCTCTGCCCAAGCCCCGGTAACATTCAACTCCTCGAAATACATATCCGCACAATGTCCAGCCAATTGGCGCGCATCCGCCTCAACGCGAAGCAATACCCGTGTCTGCCTTCCACGAGGGATGTTTACCAGAAGATGCTGGCCCGGCTTCATCAAATCAAATCGCTGACCAAGGACATTTTGCAGGTGGGGATCGCCAATGGCAGCCACACCGCCGGCTCCGCCCGCCATGGGAGCTCCAGAAAGAAATGTCGGGTGAGGCGTCGGCCAGCCCGGAAGAAACGTCGGGATCGGCGTCGGGCTGGACGTGGGGAAGGACGTCGGAAAGGCCGTCGGATATGCCGTTGGGTTGGGCGTTGGGTCGGGCGTCGGGTTGGGCGTTGGGTTGGGCGTCGGGTTGGGCGTCGGGTAGGGCGTCGGGTAGGGCGTCGGGTACGTCGTCGGGGCGGGCGTCGGGTACGACGTCGGGTAGGGCGTCGGATAGGGCGTCGGGGAGGGCGTCGGGTAGGGCGTCGGGTACGGCGTCGGGGCGGGGGTGTATTTGATCCACATTTCGAGCGTGCACTGCATATAGACTGGGTGATGGCGAGGGTGGCCTGGTGGCAACGATTTGACCAGGGACTGATACCTGGGCACCCTGACCAGCTTGGCCATGTGGAATCCAAATTGCACGACAGTGAAGTACCTTGGCATTTCCTGTACGAGTACCAGGTTGCCACAGACGAATTGTCACTGACACCCTCTCTGGACTTCGTCAGCTGCGTCACCGGTTTCTCGCCTCCTGGCACGAGTGCAGCGCCAGGGTGGATTCCGACCAGAACAACGGTCAAACAACACGCATGTATAACCTTCATGCCGGAGAGGAGATCACGAGTGTTGCAGTATTCGAAGCAGTGTGAGCAAAACTGCCTTCCAGGAAGCTTGACGGACCACGTCTATATGAGCCAAAGTGGCCGGGGTGCGAAGTCGGGTGTCCTCAACTCCCTCCGGATCTCCTGTGTCAATAGCATTCTCTGTCAGGGACTCGTCACCATCACCAAGGACCAAGGGGGGCCGCCAAGACTCTGAGCCTCCAGAGGGGCCACCAAGAGCCTCCGGAGGGGCCGCCAAGAAGCTCCTGAGGGCCCACCAATCACCTCTTGAAAGGCCACCAAGAGCCTCTGGAGGGGCCACCGAAAACCTCTTGAAAGGCCACCAAGAGCCTCTGGAGGGGCCACCAAGAACCTCCTGAGGGGCCACCAAGAGCTTCGAACCCTAAACTCCGAAGTTTAGGGATTCTCCCCTCCAGATCCCAGTGGAATCGGAAGAGGGAATCTCCTAAACTCTGGAGTTCAGGGATTGAACCTCTGGATTCTAATGTTTTTCCCTGGGCAACCTTCCGCAAACGTTGGAGGTCGAAAGAAAACCTAAAGCGGAGTTCATTCAACACCTACGGATGACTCTGGGTGTTTGAAGGATGTTAGTCTCCTGGGGCCCCGTGGGAAGCCTCTTGGGCTCTTGAGGGTATCTTGGGTCCGTCTTAGGGCCATATTCGGCTGTCCGGGCCGTCTGGAGGTCATCTGGAGCCGTCTTGGCGTCCGGCAGACCCGGGCCTGACCCAACACACTGGCCGCAGACGGCGCAGAAAGGGAGATCCCGGAAGCGTGAGCAAGCTGCAGGAATCGAAAATGCCGGTCGGAAAGAGTCCAAGCGGTCTCTCGGGGGCCCTGCAGGAGCCTCCGTCCGGGACACGTCGGAGAGCCCAGGGGCGCGAGCATGCTTGAAGCGAAACGGGCAGGGCTGCCGCAAGTGAGGGGCTTCTCCGAGCCCGGAGATGCGAGGACGTCGCAGGCGAAACTGGCCAGGACCCCCCTGGCGCGGGGCATCTCGGAACCCAGAGCGGCAAGGATGTCTAAGGCAAAACGAGCCAGATCACACCTCGCGCGGCATCTCGGAGCCCAGGATTGCGAGGATATCTTCGGCGCACCCCCCCGTGAACATTCCAAGGGGGCAAGGGGATGCGTTAATGTCGACAGAGCGATACATGCGGTCCGATGAGGCCACCGGCTCCGATAAGGAGGGCCACAAGACGGCCCACCACCACACAAGCGAAACTTGTTCTTGGTTGAACTTGTGTCGAAGGCTGTACCCTCCCGACAAGAGGCCTCTGCACTAGACCATGTAACGTTAAATGAATGGAGAGAGGGGAACACGACGGCGACGACTATGTACGGAACACTTCAGGAATGAGGATACAGATGCTGCTGCTGCTTTCCGACAACGAAGATATCAGCCTTGTCACTCGAGTCTCTACTTGGATTCCGAGAGGGACACACGCCCTTTACACCCCGCCTCAGGAATGGTTACGTCTCCGGGATCGTCTTCACCTAGTAGGCCTCCGACTGCATAACCGGTTCGCCCTAAGTGCTTGACGTAGAAGTTCAGGTATGGGAGCCCACTTTGCGTGCGTCCATGAACAACTTTCAGCTCAACCTTACCAAAGGCAATCCATCCTTGAGTCCCGACGATAGGTTGCGACGCAACGTAGTGATACCCTCCAGCGTGTTCTGCCTCTGCCCAAGCCCCTGTAACATTCAACTCCTCGAAATACATATCCGCACAATGTCCAGCCAATTGGCGCGCATCCGCCTCAACGCGAAGCAATACCCGTGTCTGCCTTCCACGAGGGATGTTTACCAGAAGATGCTTGCCCGGCTTCATCAAATCAAATCGCTGACCAAGGACATTTTGCAGGTGGGGATCGCCAATGGCAGCCACACCGCCGGCTCCGCCCGCCATGGGAGCTCCAGAAAGAAATGTCGGGTGAGGCGTCGGCCAGCCCGGAAGAAACGTCGGGATCGGCGTCGGGCTGGACGTGGGGAAGGACGTCGGAAAGGCCGTCGGATATGCCGTTGGGTTGGGCGTTGGGTCGGGCGTCGGGTTGGGCGTTGGGTTGGGCGTCGGGTTGGGCGTCGGGTAGGGCGTCGGGTAGGGCGTCGGGTACGTCGTCGGGGCGGGCGTCGGGTACGACGTCGGGTAGGGCGTCGGATAGGGCGTCGGGGAGGGCGTCGGGTAGGGCGTCGGGTACGGCGTCGGGGCGGGGGTGTATTTGATCCACATTTCGAGCGTGCACTGCATATAGACTGGGTGATGGCGAGGGTGGCCTGGTGGCAACGATTTGACCAGGGACTGATACCTGGGCACCCTGACCAGCTTGGCCATGTGGAATCCAAATTGCACGACAGTGAAGTACCTTGGCATTTCCTGTACGAGTACCAGGTTGCCACAGACGAATTGTCACTGACACCCTCTCTGGACTTCGTCAGCTGCGTCACCGGTTTCTCGCCTCCTGGCACGAGTGCAGCGCCAGGGTGGATTCCGACCAGAACAACGGTCAAACAACACGCATATATAACCTTCATGCCGGAGAGGAGATCACGAGTGTTGCAGTATTCGAAGCAGTGTGAGCAAAACTGCC